CCCCCCCCCCCCCCCCCCCACCTTAAATGGTTGGATTTCAATTTCTTTTGCAATCTGGGAAGAAACAAAAAAATCCCAATTCATGAAATAGAATGAATGAAATATGACTCTGCTTTACAGTTTTTGTTCCATGTAAAACCAATAATGAACAAAGACTAATTCAGATTTCTGGCAGACTCAAATCAGCCAAGATATAAAGAAGTTTGGATTCTACACAGCATTTTAAGGAACCTTATAAAATTTTAGGGGGATAGAGCTGCTTTCTGCTTGTTAAGGATCCACAACTTTTAAGCCCTTGATTTATCCTACTCCAAATTTTTGCTACAAAATCTTCCCAAATCTGTGTTTAACCTAATCCTGTACCCACTGAAGAAGGATCAGGAATTTTATTTTATTTTTTACCAGTATTTTGTAGATTTTATTATCACTGTTCCATGAAAAAGCATGAGTATTAAGAACCTGCTTCAAGTATGCCTGGGCAATGAAATCTTCCCCACTTTCCAACTTCCTACCCTTAAAAACATCCAAAACTTAAAAAACAAAAACAAAAACCTCCCAAAATAAGAGAGAAAGTGGAGTGAGAGTTGTGGGTTTTTTTGTTTTTGTTTTTGTTTTTAATTATTATTGACATATAATGATGTCTCCCAACAGTTGCTTGTATTGCTTGTATCATGCATCAACTAACAGCAGCTAAGGCTAGTATCCAGATGTCACAACTCATACTTACAGGCATGTTTCCAGATTTTGGCTACTGAAATTTTTATTTTTCACTTAAATATGGAATATCACATAACATCATAACACAATGTGAGGTTGATGTGGAACAGCCACCATGTTTTCTTCATCAGCTGTCCTGTCTTTTCAGACTTTCTCATTTACAAAAAGCAAGTAATGCTGCCACATGCCACCACTTCATAAGCTAGCACTTTAGAGCACATTAACATTTTAGCAGGCAGTTTCCAAACAGGTAACTTCAAGGCAGATCTTCAAGACTGAAAATACATACAAATAGCACTGTAGCATCTAAGAACTTAAGCCACAACAATACAATATTGTCAGTTTTATTTGTAAAAAAACCTACAGAGTTGCTGACCTCGTCCATATCTGCAGTTTATGCTCCTGTTCATGGTACGCTTTGTTTATCTGGTTCTTTCTCTCTATATGCCCTGTGTTATACCATTTTTGGTAGAAGGTATTCATACTTACTACTCTCTTTCACAGTTTGTTCAAATGCAGTCTATGCTCTTTGTTCGTACACTTCATTAAAAGGAAGAAAACATTTACAAGTACACTGCTAACTTGTAAAGATAATCACAATGCAAACCTCCACATTTTAAAGGCATTACATCACTTCTGCACTGTACATGCTTGGAAAGTCTTAATGCTGTTGATAATGATTAAGATCAGACTCAAGCTAAGGATGAGCTCCTACAAGTTATTAATTAAAAAAGCCTCAACCTCTTCTGATAGTACTTAAGGTGAAGTGTGGTTTGAGGCATTAAACAGGAATCTTCAAAAGAGTCCAAGAAAGTTAGATGTTTTCACTGAGAAGTAATCTGAGTATTTCCCTTCCACTGAAGGGAAAGCCTACACCAAAGCCTCTAGATGTAAAGTAACTGGATGGAAGTACCACAGGCCACCTCTCTGGGAATATAAACTTATGATTATGAAGTCCTTATATAGTCCTTATATATAAGACTTCTGCTTATGAAGTCCTATCTACTCTAGGTCTTAGGTTTTAGTGATGCCAAACAGCATCCTATACTGAGGCTGGTAAGGCAGTGATAAACTACAAAGGTGTTTTCATAGAGGTTTTCTGGACCAGCCCCTCAAAAGGATGTTTGTGAGGGTCCTCAAAAGTTGGAAGGTCTTCCAAAGTGAATGGGCTTTCATTCCAGATCCAAGGCAGAGTCTGGTATAAACTGAGAGATGCTGTTCAGCATGACTCTGTTGTACTACATCTTCCCTCCTGTATCTACAAAAGTGCTCAGAGACGATAGAAGCATTATGTCCACTGCCAGAAAATGGGATCTCATCCTACTGGTGGGGCCTCTTCCCAAGAAGAATTTATTTCACAATCCCATGCTATGATAGTGCCCAGAGGGAGAACAAAGAACTCCACAAGAACCAGGCTGTGGTTCACTGCTCTCTGAAATGATACATCTCTGCTTCAGAAACTAAAGAATCTCAGCTTAGGTAGTGCATTCACAAGGTACACAGGTTTACATAGGTTTTGCATGCATTTTTAAATACACTAAAAATAGTAAGTAAAAATATATGCATTGAAATAGTACACACCCTTGATTTATGTATGGTTGGGTCACATTTTAACTGCTTTAAATAGCAAACATATATAACCTCTCACAATAGTTATTTACTACTGCATGCTTAAAATAAATTGTGAAATGTCAGTGACAACTGTCATGTTGTCTTTCATTAAACATGAAAAGTTTGAGCAACAGTGGAAACAAAAATAATGCATTGATATGGCATCAAAGTTTGTTAGTTTAAAGCTACTACTTCATGTATTTTAAAAATCCCCTTTGGAACACATCTACCAATTACTAGAATTTGTCATCTTATACTCTATACTACAATATAATGTTTAAAATACAGTTAACTCTACCAGTCAATGACTTTTTAATAAGGTATTGTACAAATATACAGCTATTTATACCAGATACAAGTAAGGCCATTAACATAACAGCAAGATACATAGACAGAATTATAATCCCCAATATATGGAATGAGCTTTTCTCTGAGTCAGCCAAAATCAGGCTCATTGTTTAATTATCAGCAGCGTTTAGTGAATGATAAAGTTTTATTTATTTTGTGAACATTTAGTGAATGTAACAGGTTTTACTGATGCCCTGAAGGATCAAGTGGTGTTCAATACAGTTTCACAATGTAATGCCATCATGGTCACAGTGTCAGTAGATGTGCATGGTCTCTGAACTGGCTGTTGAGTAGCGTGAAAAGTTTTTTCTGGATCAGATGCCTTACTGAAAGACACGCAAAGCAAATGACTGTTGATGATGAAGTCCTTAAAGTTAAATAATTGTTTAGTGTTTCCCCCTAAAATTTAAGTGCACAAGTAGTTAAACTACACTTGTAGTTTAATTCTAAACCACAGAAAGGTCCTTGTCTTGAGGAGTATTTTACTTACAGAAGCTTCCATTGTAAAATGAAGATTCATGTTTCCCAATGACACGTGAGGGAATGCTCATCTGTGGGAAATCATCCTTTGGCTTCTGGGTGTTGCTGCTGCTGGATTTACTTCGGCTGTGATCTGGTGTGGGCTGAATAGGCAAAGATCTAGCTGCCCTGGATCTCACTAGGCAGCCACAAACAAGGCGAAAGAAAGCTCGACGCATTTCCTTACTAGCCAAAGTATAGATAATAGGATTCATTGCAGAATTGATGACAGCCAGAGCTATAAACCAGTTGGCTTTGAATAGGACAGAGCACTCCCTGACTTGGCAGGCCACATCAATAAGGAACAGAATGAACAGTGGTGACCAACAGGCAATGAAGACACTAACAACGATCACAACAGTCCTAAGGAGTGCCATGGACCGCTCTGAGTTGTTGTGGTTAGTGACATTACGGCTGCTGGACTTTACCAGGATGTAGATGCGTGCATAAAGGATAACAATGGCTACCAGAATGGCTATGAAAATACTGATGCAGAATACAACATACTTCTTGGAGTAAAGAGGCAAAATTGTTGAGCAATCTGGCAAGTTGTTTATACAGTTCCAGCCAAGGATGGGCAAGGCTCCCAAGGAGATTGAAATAAGCCAGCAGGTTCCAATGAGAAGGAACACTCTATATTTTTTATTTGCATCATAAGGCCTCATCTTAATCATTGTCAAGTGTCGTTCAATAGCTATTGCTAATAAGCTGAAGGTGGAGGCTCCTAACGCAACGAACATACTGCCTTCCCTAATAAACCAAATTGTGGAGGACAAGCTCAGAGTTTTCTTCCCAGACATAAGAATGTTTACTTTGTAAACAATCCCAGCTAAAAGATCACAGAGAGCTAGATTGCCAATGAAAAAGTACATGCGGTTGTGAAATTTATTGTTTTTCCAAATGGCAATCAACACCATCAGATTTTCCAGGACTATGAAACTACATAGGATCAGAAATGCAACAGTGGTAAAGTCTATGTTATCAGTTGCCTTCTCCCTCAGAATAAGCTTTCCTGTGTAATTATAATGCAGTACAATAAGAGAGTCCATTTCCTCATTTCCTTCAGTACCAACAACAGCAGCAGGTATCACAGTAACTGTTGACATAGTCTCTTAGCTGCTGTTGGATGTTTCTTCTTTAATGTCACGAGAATTTAGTTCCAGTAATTTTCCACAAGAGGGAGATCAAGCCACAATCCTCCAAGTTCTCCTCTGGGCAGGTAGTGGATATTCCCAGATCCAGCGAGTCTCTCATGTTAATTTGGGAAAACAGCTAAGAAATCAGGTTCTGAAAATAAAAACAAATGCAAAATAAATCTCACTGTCATCACACATCACCCATATAGCCTGTGTGACTGCTCAAGCTGTAATACAGGCCCTGTATCCAAGAGGGATGTTGGCTACAATGGAGTTCTGAGGTCACACATATATCAAGTTGGTGGAAAAGGAAGCCATAGGTCTTGCTTCTCATGGGTGCAATTCTGCTATGGAAATATGATACCAACTGTTGGTAAGTGTTTCAAGTCCAAAAACAAACAAAAACATAAAACAAACAAACAAAAAAAAACAGGAGTATTGCTAATAAGCTGAAGGTGGAGAAGTATTAACAAAAGCTCCCAGCAAGCCTATGTGCACCGTAACTGGTGCAATCTCAAAAAGACCGAAGTGTGTGTGGCACTGCCAAAACACCACCCCATCTTCATTGCCTGAGCAGTAGCAAGGCAAAATTATTGCTTTTTAGTTTTCCATAGAGATCTAAAGTAGCAAAGAATCTAACAAAGCATCAAATTTTGACCACTGTGCACACTGCCAATGCCTAAAATAGCTTCCCACACTTAACAGTACCGAAACTGTGCTACTTGCAATTAAGGAGACACTCTGAAAGCCATTCATCACAAAGCTAACCCTACTTCAAATTCAAATTAGTTGACCTACAACTATCATTTTTTAAACAAACATAGCCAATCACATCTTTCGATCACTTTTTTTTCTATGCTGTGTATGCAACACATGCATATGCATAAAACAGAATCAGAATAGTTTTGGTTGGAAGTGATCTCTAAAGATCATCTGGTTCCAACCCTCCAGCCCTGGGCAGGATTGCTACCTACCAGATCAGGCTGCTCGTGGCCCCATCCCACCCGGCCTTGAACAACTCTGGGGATGGGGCATTTAGAGCTTTTCCGGGCAGCCTGCGCTAGTGCCTCATCACCCTTTGAGTAAAAAACTTCTGCCTGATGTCTAACCTAAATCTCCCCTCTTTTAGTTTAAAGCCATTCTCCCTTGTTGTTTCACTATTAGATTATGTAAAAAGTAGGTCCCCCTCCTGCTAATAAAATCCTTCATTGTTGCCCCTGGAAGGCAACAATGGGGTCTCCTTTGAAGCCTACTCTTCTTAAACAAGCCCAATTCCCTCAATCTTTCCTTGCAGGAGAGTTGCCCTTTGATCATCCTCGTGGCCCTCTTCTGGACCTGTTCCAATAGCTCCCCATCTTTCCTGTATTCAGGATACCAGACCTGGATGCAGAACTCCAGATGGGGTTTCACAAGGGCAGAGTAGAGGGGGACAATCACCTTCCTCACCCTGCTGGCCAGCCCTCCTTTGATGCAGCCCAGAATAGAGCCCCAGCTGCAAGCACACACTGCTGGCTCACGTACAGATTTTCATCCATAAGGACTTCCAAGTCTTTCTCTGCAGGGCTGTTATCAATGAGCTCTTCTCCCAGTCTGTACTCATATCTGAGATTGTCCTGAGCCACCCTGCACTTGTCCTTGTTGAACCTCAATAGGTTTATCTGTGCCCACTTTTTGAGCCTGTATAGGTCCCTCTGGATGGCATTCCTTCCGTCTGCTACATCAACTGTACTACTCAGCTTGTGTCATCATCAAACCTGCTGACAGAGCACTCGATCCCACGGTGATGAAAAGGACTAGATCCAAGATGGACCACTGGAGGACACCACTCATTACTGTTCTCCACCTGGACACAGAGCCATTGTATGTATACAAGACACTGATTTAAGATTTTTCTTTTTTAAATACTATAATGACCAGTCTTGTTCCAATTCTGTTCTTCAAATGGAGACTTAGATTAATTGCAGCATTTTCCCATAGACTTTGATATGATGCATTTTCACAGCAGATTGATTCTCCTACCTCTTTTTTGCACTGCCATGCATAAGTATTGGAAGAGATCTGCAAAGCTTTATAAAAATATCAGGCGGTGACAGAAGCACTTAATACTCTACCGAAATGTGACAGGCACTGCACACTTCAATGAGAATCAGTGCTCATGCCTCAAATGCATGCAGTAAGGTTGAATGGATAGCCAATTTTTCAGTTCAGCTACCAAACGAGGATGAAGACAAGAACAGAACTGGTTCCATTGGAAGCAAATTTGTGTGGTTTTTTTTATTCAGGAAAAATAGGAAGATAAAATTTCTGCTACATGGGAGGTCACTTTCTATTGCTCCGCCCTCCCCCTAGTGTAACTTAATTTTAGGAATTTATGAGAGCTAGAACTCATATATATATATACTATTTACAAAATGGCCATGAGTATTTCCCAAACATGTGAAAGGCACTTTCAAAAGAAGGCCATCAAGAGATGAATTAGAGATTTCAGCCTCAACAAGTACACCAGCAGTTTTCAACCTCTGACCTATACAGTGCAAGGACTCTCTTAATTATTCTACATAATTGAGGTATGCAGGCTTACTGTCAGTAGGCTTACGCTTAACACTGGAGTGCATGTACTTTCACTGGAAAGCACACAGGTTTCTGAAGATCACAAAAGCTCCTGAGTCACCGCTATTCCAGCATATCATTTTTGACACTTGAGAAGTGGAAGTGGAATTTGAAGTGCCTTGCAGAAGACAGGAGGAGCAAAGCAAGTCCCAGTTGATTGTAATTGGAGTAAAGGATGACCCAATCCATTTTTCCCACCCTCCCTTTTCCTGGATTCTCTCCTTCAGAAAAGAATGAACCTGACAAAAGCTTGTGGTGACATGACATAATTTCATTATTACATTCAGAATATATCAAAATGATTGTCTAAGAGAATGATTTTCTATTATTATTTGCCCATTCTAGTCTCTATGTCCAAAATGCTTTGGTGGAGAGAACCACAGGGAGAGGATATGCAAGAAGCACAGTTATCTCTTGTAGCTATAAGTCTTTTTCTCTCTGAAGATGGCAATCCCCTCATTCATTTCTTCTGATCTGAACTGGGCCCACAAGTTCTTGACCCTTTTTCTAAAGCATGAACTGCAAAGCTCTGAGCTTCACCTCAGCTAAGGTTCAATCTAATTGTAATTCAATTAAAATCTGCACACTTATCACAGACTATCACAGTCTTTCATTGTATTGACTTACAACAAAATGCCACTGTTCATATGAATTGCAAAGTGCTTGTCACTGTACAATAAACAATTATATTTGATTAGAAAAGTATTCATTAATGACAACTTAACTAGCATCAGACTGCTTGAGAGAATTGTACTGAGTGCTGTTACAACACCACATACAACAAAATGCATGTTTCTGTAAGACTTTTCCAAGCAGAGATATTGTACTCTTCTATCACAGAGCAAATGCCTCCTTGTGGACACGATGGCCAAATCAGTGTTCAAATGAAGGAACAATGCCAAGAACCACAGCCAAGTGGAGCACAATTCAGCTGCCTCTTTTCCAGCCTGTTCTGAGGATGGAAGGAGCAGCCGGGTGAGAAGCGTGGCTGTGAGCATTGCAATCTGCCTGTGCTGGCAAACCTTCTTGTCCACTGCTACATTTTATGATTTCAGTAGCTGTTAGTGTTTTCTCTTGCAGAGGTCCAAGATCCTATAGGGTCATGCACCCTTCCAAGTTGCAGTAGAGATCACCACCAAAGCTGATGTTCCCAGAGTCTGATGGGGTACATACTGCCTCCCACTTGGAAAGGTCAATTCTCTGTGGAAGTCAATAACGCTCAGTTCTCCCCCCTGGTACATCTCTACTACTCTTCCCAGACATAGTAATAGCACAGGGGGGGAAGCTGGGCTCCCCACAGGTAAGTCTGGGTAAGGCTGCTGAGGACAACCTGCAATTTTCCTCCGGGACTGTGTAACTCCCAGTACCAGGAGGCAGTAGGGAGCTGATGACAAGACAGGGGTCTGTCTTGGGACTGGTGCTCTTTAATATCTTTATCAATGACATCAATGATGGAATTGAGTGCACCCTCAGCAAGTTTGCTGATGACACCAAGCTGAGTGGTGTGGTTGACACGGGGGAAGGAAGGGATGCCATTCAAAGGGACCTCAATAGGGTTGAAAGGTGGGCCCGGGTGAACCTGATGAGGTTCAACATGGCAAAGTGCAGAGTTTTGCACTTGGGCCGGAGGAATCCCAGGCATCCATACAGACTGGAAGGAGCGGTCCTTGAGAGCAGCCCTGCATACAAGGACCTCGGGGTCTTGATAGATGAAAAGCTTAACATGAGCCAGCAGTGTGCTCTTGCAGCTCGGAAAGCAAATGGTATCCTGGGCTCCATCAGAAGAGGACAGGGCCAGCAGGGACAGGGAGGTGATTGTCCCCCTCTACTCTGCTCTTGTGAGGCACCATCTGGAGTACTGCATCCAGGTCTGGAGCCCATAGTACAAGAAAGATAGGGAGCTGTTGGAGAGGGTCCAGAGGAGGGCCACAAAGATGATCAAGGGACTGGAGCACCTACCCTATGAGGACAGGCTGAGGGAGCTGGGTTGTTCAGTCTGGAGAAAAGAAGGCTGTGGGGTGACCTCATTGCAGCCTTTCAGTACCTGAAGGGGGCCTATAAACAGGAAGGGAATCAACTCTTTGAAAGGGTAGATAACAGCAGGACAAGGGGAAATGGTTTTAAGTTGAAGGAAGGGAAAGATTTAGGTTGGATATCAGGGAGATTGGTGAGGTACTGGAACAGGCTGCCCAGAGAGGTTGTGGATGCCCCGTCCCTGGAGGTGTTCAAGGCCAGATTAGATGGGGTCCTGGGCAGCCTGGTCTAGCATTAAATGTGAAGGTTGGTCGCCCTGCATGTGACTGGGGGGTTGGAGATTCATGATCCTTGAGGTCCCTTCCAATCCTGGCCATTCTGTGATTCTGTGATAATGCAGACTCCCAACACCCTTTCACAATTTGCAACATACCTCTGTTCTCAGCAGGCATTCTGCTCAGAGACCCACAGGGAGTAAAGGGCTTTCGCCATCTCATGAGTCACTGTGCAATTTACAGCAGCAAAAATAAGAAATATGAATTTTCAAAACACTGAGCCAAACAATTTTCATGATAGCCCCAAGTCAATCTTATATAACGCAAGTGAAAACGACTTAATATACTGCTCCTTACATTTCCCTTCAGAACACAATAAAATGCAGTAAAGTTTCAGACACCCACTGCAAGTCATCTGGATTCTGTATTTTCCTACCTTCCAATCATCCATAAAAATACATGCCCAAATGGACCAGAGCCCCCTTCACCACCACCACACACATTCCTGTTCTTCCTTGTCTTCCACACATTGCCATATGCTTTGGCCACAAACAACAATTTTCAGAAAAGCCTTTCAAATTCCCTTTCAAAAAAGGGAAACACAAGAATGTATATTCATAGCCAAACCTTTGTATATTTTAAAGCCTTCATAGTTAAATGTGTGTAATTTCTCTGGCACACTCTGGCAGTGTGTCAAATTTAGTCAAATTTAAGAAAAGGCTTTTAAGAACAGCCATGCTCAATGTAAACAGCATCGAGACAACAAACATCTGCTGCAAAACAATGTCTTGGACAACTCAAATAAATTTTAAAATAATTATGTTTTTGAAGTGAATGTTCTGGCAGTTTATGGCCTTTAGCAAATGGTTACTTTTTGGCTTTGAAAGTCAGACATCCGTTTGCATTCTGTAATCCCGAATAGCACACGGGCACCTCGCAGTCCCGTCCAGTTTTGTTCCTGCATGTAAGCACGCTAAAAGAAGGCATATTCACTTCTTCCCCCCCCTGCCGGCCCCTGCTGCTCTCGACTTCTTCCTCCCACCCCCAAAAAATCAGCACTCAGTTCGCAAACTCTAATTTCTCAGCAACTCGAACTTCCAGGGGAAGGATGTGACAAAGCGCTCGTTGGAGCCGTCCGAGTGCAACCCCGACAGCTCCGGAACGCTCGCAGAGGACCGGCGTCCCCTAACCCCGGCGCTCGGCGCGCCACTCACCGCTCCGCCGCTCCGCGCCGCATCCTGCGCTCGCCGCCTTCTGCAACTTTCCAGCTCCGAACAGGAGCTCCCTGGAGGCCGGACAGGGGATTCACAGCCCTCACCCACTGTCGCACCGACGCCGGACAGAAGGCCGTCCCGCGGGGAACAGTACCTGCCTCCCTCCCCCGAAGCTCAGTGGCAGCAGCTCCCGAGCTCGCGGGCTACGCTGGGCCGGGCCGGGCCGGGCCAGGTCGGGCGGGGCTGAGATGGCCGCAGCTCTTCCCCGCCGGCGCTCCCCGCCGGCCCGGAGCCGCCCCGGCCGGCCGGCCCCCTCCTCAACCCCGAGCTCTGCCCGCCTCCTCCCGCCCCCGTCCTGTTCTGCCTGTCCCGATGTCAGTCTGTCTACGGAGACAGGCTGGGCGTGGAACAATAGCAGTGAGCACCGAGAGAGAAGAGCGAGGCAGCAGGGCCCGCTGCGGAGTGTTTTTGTGGACCATCTAAATGCTGTTGGAGGGAAGAAGGGGAGGAAATTTTGGGTAGTTCTTACTCATCTCGAATTATTAACATGTTCAGGTGAGGCTCACCTTTCCTGCAGCTGCCCTTGATTTTATTGTGCCTGATAATCAGCGATCGGCGGAGAGGGTTGGCACCAAGTGAAAGGCACATTTAGAAATTCCAAGCAAAAATTGTGGAGGTTTTACACTGAACTGCCGATTACAGTAGGCCCTTCGCAAAGTACATCTTGGCAGAAGTATTGATTGAATAGAAGTATCTCGAGGATAGCAATAGGCATGCAGATTGCTCCAGTGCTGGAAGCTATACTTCTCAAAAGAAGTTGAAACTGGTGTCCTAGAGTGTCTTAATTTACTCTGATTTGTAAAGTACCTGTTGGTACTGCGAAGTGTCCTGTCAGAAAGCAAAATCTTGCTGTCAAGAGTGCATACAGTGAGCAGGAGCAGTGCAGCAGCACTGTTGAGGGCAGGCAGGCCTCCAGGCTGCGCAGTGCCTTAGTGATGTTCTCAGCTCAGCATCATCGCACTGATACTCATGCCATGGTTTCAGCTGTCAAGTTGCCTGCACCACTGCTCTGGTTAAAGTCCTAGAAGAAAGCAGAACTGAGGTCTTAAAAGCCAGAAGTTTACACAAAGCTGATGAAACAGAATACATGGCAGTTTTCTGTCACTTTTTTTAATCTATGGGAGACGATTAATAAAACATTTCTGGGTAGGACCTTGGGAAATAAGAACTACAGATGACTGCAGACTGTACAGAGTAAAGAAGACTGGTAAAAACGCTTTGAAGCCTCTAGGTCCAGTCTGTGTGGCCCTACCTAGCTGCAGTGAGAGTGGTGCTGGCCTGACTTCTGCGTCTTTCCATCTCTCATGCTGTTTGAGGTCTGCTCAGTTCTGTGGAATGTAAGTTCCCTCCACACTACTTAGATGCACACACCACTTCTTACAGCAAAGGGGACTCCAAGCCTGTGGGCTGGGGCTTTCTTGTACCATGGGAAAGCCTTGTCCAGCAGTTTCCCTCCAAATGACCCCAGGATGCTCTGCAGTCCCCGTGGAAGCCACTTTCCACATGCTGCAAAGCCCAGTTCTGGCAGAGATGTTTTGGTAAGGACCTCTTTGCCTTGCTCTCAGATCTGTTATTATTCCTTATCCTTTCCTCTGTATCCTTGTTTTTTCCTTCAGTAACATTTTTATACTTTGAGAGAGGAGCTAGAAGGAAGAGCCTTGCTGGTTAGAGTCAAGAATCTGCCACAGGAAAGGTTCTTTTGGCAACAGTAGCTGGAGGTTCCAAGCCGGGCCTTGCTGTCTGCAGTGGATTTGGTGTGACTCCTCAGTTGGCCCTGCCACCAACTTGTGAGGGTGTAAGTAGACAGGGCCCACAAGAGGACAAGGAAACTGCCCTTCACTGCAGAGCGCTGTGCTTGGGAAGTACTGTATATGTGGTGCAGACCAGATATTACGGAATGTTGATGTTTGGCATCCCAAACCCTTCTTCTGCCAACAAAGCACCTTGAATAGTATGATCCCAGCAGTAAGCACAGGGGACATTATACCCCTGCTCTCCCCTCTGGAAGGCAGGGAGGCAGACAGCAGGATGGTGCAGTGCAGGCTGGAGGAGCCTCCCAGGAGCAATGAGTGGAGAGAGGTCCTCAAGCAGATGCTGTCCGGGATTTTCCTGGGATAATAAGTCATATCCCAGCAGCTCTTCACAACAACCCTCTGAGAGCTCAGCATGGCCTTCTGGTTCATTTCTGAACATTGTGCAACAGCCTGAAAGGCATGCTTACAAATAGTTTTCCAAGAAGCTCTCGACCTTGTTGAAGCACTCTTAAAAGAAATGGCGTATTTCTGGGGTAAATTATTAGCAATCAGGTAAGAAACAGAAAGCAATGGCAAGGAACAATGGTCAGTTTCCATAGCAACAGGAATTTAGCCACTGAATTGCCCAGCAATGTGGAGTCTATTCTGACCTGGCAATTCATGAGTAGCTGGGTGAATAGGATGCATAATGGGAGAGCTGCATTTGCTGATGTTACTGGTACTCAACAGCTAAACTAAAACTGTTGACGAAAAGATTCCGGACCCCAAAGGTCTAGAGTGACCTGCTGATAAAGTGATGTGTTCAGTTCCAGACTGCTAAGTGAAACATAGGAAAAAACAACTGTATTTATACATGCACAAATTTGCCTGAAGTGTTAGCACTCAGGAGGGATGTAATTGCGGATAGTTACTTGAAAACACTGTACACTCATTAACTCTAAATGGGAAACTAAGTGTTAGGAATGATGAGGTAAGAAATGAAAGTCAGAGCATATCTCTGGTTGCTTCACCTGTACACTGTAATATGGTATAATGTGGTACAGCGAACCACAGAAAACAGCACACAAGGTGACAGGATGGTTATGAAAGTCTTCTGGGCAGAGAAAATGCAAGTTGGCTGGGCCTAATCATTAGCGTGAGGAAAGGGAAAAGCACAGCAATGGAGAAAGAGTTTAAAACAAAAGGAAACAAATTTCCAAAAGGATAGTATTGAAATGAGGAACACATTGCTGCAGAAGAAGAAAGTAGAAAATGGTTAAATGCACACATAGGTACAGTTCTGATGACTTTTAACCCTAGTGGTGAACGCATGGAACAGAGGCTGCTGGATCCAGGCTGGGGCAGCACACTTCCATCCCCAGAGCTAGTACGAGGTGGATCCTGTTTTCTTTCCTCTCTTTTTGTAAAAACTCATGATCTTGGCTAAAAGGACAAACAGTCACATAGGTGATGGCATGAACGTTGCCTCTGCAAATACAGAAAAGCGGAGCACTTATTTTGGGGGGAGGGGTGGAATTTAAGATGAATATAAAATAGGAAGATTCAGAACTCAGAGAAGTGGCTCAGCCAAAGCAATAGACTTGGAAGCAACCTAGCCAAGTTATGTGATCAGTCTGGAGCCTCGCAGCACACTGTGGCAGCTGATGACTTTGTCTCTCTGTCATCTGTGTTAAATGGAGAATTTGTAATTAAATTTTGTCATTCAGAAGTGGCTTCTGATTCAATGAAAGACGCATATACCATTTGTATTAAAGGATTTTCAGCACAGGCTTGAAAGTTAAAAAAGCAATTTTGGATCTTCTATTTACAAGTATTTAAAGGAATAAAAAAAAATGTGGTAACTGCCAGACAAGATGAAGCCACCCTCAGACTTGAGTTTGCAGTTTTTATACAGAAACAGATCATGTAGTGACACAACTAATACTTACTTTCTCAGTTTCTGTTAACTCTTTTAGATCTTGTAAAACTTAGGGCCTTTTGGCGTATCAAGATTAAAAAACATTAGTGCCATGTATTACTCATACCTTAGTTAGAAATCCTCATGCAGATCTGTCACTGATTTAATTTCCTGATGTTCCTGAAGTAATGCTTCATAACTTGGAAAATTAATCATCTATTTTTTATTTGATTGGTTTAATATATAAACAAAATGTGAGCAGAGCAATCTAAAAAAAAATTGCGGTTAAAAATAAAAGGACACTTACCTAATTATAATATAACTTATTATAGCTGTCTGCTTTTGACTGCAGCTGAGTTTATCTTTTTGTATTAGCAAGATAAATTATGCATATTTATGTTTTGGTAATGAAGTTCTGCAAAATATTTTTCTTTGTAACATTGGTTCTTTACTTGTTTCTGTGCTTAAAAGCCAAGCTCAAACCCAATATTGTTTAATTCAGAAATGGTTACTAGAAATATGAAATATTAAAGAAAAACAAAGAAAAAGAGTATTAATTTGGAATGCTGTTGAGCCATAATCCTCAGGGACCAAAACATATTTGGTTACTGCATCAAAGAAGTTATCTATCAATCACAATAACATAAAAGAAGATTCTGGATGCTTCAAAAATTATAACTTCACATCCTTATGCACTTTTTTGTCATGGCTATACATTCGTTGAACTATTTTGATTTTCTCTATTAGTTTTAAATATCTGTGCCCTCCTTTCTTATTCAACAGTAAATCTGGCATGCTGACCCTGTAAGTACACTGTACGAATGACTGAGGCCATGATCCTGCTGCTCTAACATTTCTAACCCACTTTGCTTGAATCACAACATCTCATAATGTGTTTTGAGTTCATATATTTAAAATGGGGATTTTTAGAAAATAGTATTGTGAGTCAGAGCATCTGAAAATATTAACATTGCTTTAATATACAATTTTGGAGTTTGTCTTAGGGGTGATAAATACAGTAACCAAGGCATCCATCTCTAACACTCACATCTGCTTTCTGTTCCCCCAGATCAGTACTTGGGAATGACAAAAAGGGAAATGATTAGACTTTTCAAAAAGGGAAATGATTAGACTTTTCACAGGCTGAATGTAAATGCATATGAAGGCTGTAGGTTTAGAAGCACTTTTTACTTCACCTATTTTGTGTAACTGCAGTGGCACTTCTGAGTGCTCCTACTCCCCAGGCTGCCTTTGGGATGTCCCATTGGCCATGGGCGGTGCTGAGCCCCAAAAGGGTGGACAAAGCATGACTGAGGCACAGTGCCTGCTGCCAAGTGCATGGGTGTAGCACTGTGCACACTGTTTGTCATGCACAGTGACAGGCTTCATTCACTAAAGCATCACTGCTTTGCATCAGGGAAGGATGCAGCTGTTTAGATCAGGCATCCTGATGGCCTGGGAAGAATGAAAAAAACACAGAATGAATATGGCAACATCTGGATTCCTGGTACATGTTGCTTGGTGCTCTCCTGGCACAGCAGAGAAGCACAAAGCAAGGTAAGTTAGTTTT